GTGTGTGTGTGTGTGTGTGTGTGTGTGGCCTCAGATTCATCTGTCAGTCATTCGGCAGCCGGTTAAGGAGAGAAGGATGTGAAATGGAAATGAGACAGACTGAAGGTCGCCTCCTGCTTTGTGTCGTTATCTGTCATCTGATGTTGTCGTGGTTTCTGACCTCGGCTCGTCACGCTCACCCTCCGCAAACTCTCCAAACCCTCTCTCCTTTTTTTTTTTTTGTTTTGCTGTTGTTTTATAAAATGCAGCCAGAAGACGCTGGACGCTCCGGGGATTTCAGTGAAAGATGATATTCAGACAGAGCTGCATCAGTGGCTCTCCGCTCTGATTCCTCCTCGCTCCTCAGGGATGACAGCGTTTTCTGTTAATTGTCACGAGCGGAGGTAAAAAGCATCAAAGCGTTCCGAGCTGTGGTTTCACAGCTGGAGATCAGAACCACCTATAGATGGGTCGGACGTTACAGATTTAGATGACACATGATGGTGCAGTGGTGTCTCCATCCATCTGTAAGGAAATGCATTTGTATGTATTCAACACTAGGGGGCGGAGTACGTATACGACACAAAACGAAGTTTAGTGAAAACGAGGTGAAGTTTACGCTGCCTTCACTTACGAAAAAACACACGTCTGAAAATATATTATTCTGTTTCTCAAAATGCAGATTTCACGAGGGGACACAAGGTCACTGTTGGTCACTTATTGTCCTCGAACGTCTCACACGGTTTGATTTGATCTCCTGACCGTCAACACCGACTGAAACAAACTCAGACCAACTTCCTGTGATCAGTCGTCAGCCGCAAATTATTTTCATTTCAGAGAAGGTCAAAGAGGAGGAGGAGGTCAGAGAGAAAGCTGAGGTTTTATCTGCTCCATGTTTATTCCACGTCCGACTGGAAGGAGTCAGATCCAGAACAAACTGGGAGGATTAAATATCTCATCCCGGTAGTAAAGTCAGGATCCCAGCTAGAGGACTTGGCCGAGGAGAAGCAGCTCTGGGTTTCTGTTTTTCAGAAGGAGAACACCTGATCACCTGCAGCTGATGTGCGTCTCCTCGTCAGTGAAGCTCTATATCACCTCCCTGGATCTGTGCTTGCTGCCGTTTGGCCTCTGAGCCATCTGTTGGTGTTCATGAAACCCTGAGGTTGTTCTGTTTGATTTACAAATGTCTTATCTTCATGAATCTCCTGTATTTAGTTTCCACCATTTTGTTTTAGTGACTCTTTAATAGTTTTTCCAAACTAAAATGAAAAATAAACTCTCCGTGTCACTGAAATCTAAACCTCCTGCTCACTATCGACAGTTTGTCGTGCAGCCGATCACGAGTGACGATAATAATTCGGACGCAGCAATAAAAAAGTGCTGAGTGAGAATTTAGCATCAAACTCGATCACCGCGTCGTCTACATCCATTTCCTGTGAGCCGACCCTAATGGTGGACGTAAAAAACTGACAGCTGGGACGGGCCGCAGCTCGAACCACGTGAAACCCTCATGTCCCGATTCCTCCTGATGATTAACGGCCTAATTAAAAGCTTTATGTCTAATTAGTTGATGAGAGGAGCAGCGTGGACGCTCGACCCGGCAGCTGCTCACACACAAAAGATTCTCTGCAGTCAACCCGGGACGTCTTCGTTCTGTGGTGACTAATTGTCGGACGTTGAACTTTATTCATGTTTGTTCTCTTCTTCATCAGTATCAGTCCACGAGCTCAGTGATGCTGCTGTCATGATGCGATGCTGCCCCCTGCTGGTGGCAGTGCATCATCACATCCCTAAAGCCCCCACAGCAAACTGACGGTTCTGCATCAAATTATAAATCATTTAAATCACTACATCTGTATCATAATGTATTTCAAACATGCACCTGTTTCTTTTTGTAGTAATTTAACTCAGTTTTTTCGCTGTAAACATTCATTCATACTACAACTGCTCCGATTTACTACATAGTACAAACATACTTTACTTCCCATGAAGTATTTTTACACTCAATCCATTTTTACACTACTCTGATCCTATCCACCATCTGCCATATAATATGTTGTACTGTGTACTATGTACTCAAATGCTCTGTGTACGTACAGTATGTGTTTACACCGGGGTTCTATCCATATGGCAGATTTGACAACAAAGTTGACTTTGATTAACAACATGTTTGTATTTCTAGTGCTGAAATTCACATTATTTCTTTTTCAAGATGAATTATTTCTAAAACTTTTGAATTGGTTTTAAATGACTTGTTTTTATGAATTCAAAAACTGGTTCAGATGCAGAGTGCAGTGAGCCTTGTAGGACTAAATTATTGAATACATCTTTGTTCCTTAAGCGCATTTGCTTTTTATTCTTCTGCATTTTTTACTTTCGAAAGATGACTTTTGTGTTTGAGTATTTCTTCATCTTTGTGTTAGTACTTTAGCACAGAGTTGTCTCCTCATGATCCTCACCTCACAGTGTTGTTGGCAGCATCAGGATCCCTCGCAGACACCGTCTTCACCAACGTCCCAATCTCAGCGTCCTCCGGAAGCTCGACATAGTACGTCGGCAAGTCGAACAGCGGCGGCTCGTCCACGTCCTCCACGCTCACGTGAACGATGGTGACGTCCTTGAAGGGCCCGCGGTGACGGAAGGCCGGGTCCAGGTTGGTGTTGGCCCCCTCCACCTTCAGAGTGTAACTGGGTTTACTCTCAAAGTCCAGGGGCTGGAGGGAGAACACACAAACAGCCATGAAACAGACGACACTTTACTAATGGTTCATGAACTTCTGCTGTCGTTGGTTGACTCTAGAATTTAATGTAAAGTTTTCTGCATTCAAGGTTAAAATAAATCATTAGTTTAGTTTGGTTGCTTTCTTTCTGTGTGGAGAAAATAAGCATTTCCAGACTTCTCAGGAAATGTATTAGTCTGTAAATCCAGAGTTATATCAGTGGGACGTACATCTTTACAGCCTGAGAGTGAGATTGTATAAAACTAAAACTATATACATTCAAAAGTGGAGTGTTGTTTATTCAAATAATTGCAAACAGGCAGGAAGCCAGATGTGCAGATGGTTGTTAGTCAGGAGTTGACTGCGAGTGGAGGAACCTGATGGTAGAAACTCATCCTGCGGTAGAATCAGACTCATTTTCTTGGAATGGTGACGATGGTTAAAATGATCCATTTCCTGTGATGAAGTTTAAACCATTTACCTTTTTCACCGTGATGATGCCGAACAGGTTGGTGGGGTCGGTGCTGATGTCGAAGGTGTCTCTACCGTCTCCATCGATGATGCTGTACTTCATCTCAGCGTTGACCCCGATGTCCCTGTCCTTGGCCCAGATACGACCCACCACTGAGCCCACAGGAGCCGACTCTGGGACGCTCATCTGGTACAACCCTGAGGACACAATGGACCACAGTGACCATCCTGCTGTAACTGCTTGTTTCCCTCGTCTCTCCTCCAGAGGGAGCCAAACATCTTCCATCCCCTCACCATCGCCGCCATTCAGAGGCTGCCTGAAATAAATGGCTCTATAAAGACCTCACCATCGGGTTATGCACACTCTCCTGGGTTGGCTTGAATTTCATCTCCTGTTTAACCTCAAAGAAGAGGTGACAGCTGCCCAATTTGAGACGCTCCCTGCAGGCCACGGTGAAATGCCTCCACATTGTGCCTGACAGAGGGGGAATCCCTGAAGTTCTTCATAACCGATCAAAGTTCCTGCAAAGTGATGGCGTTAATTGGTGGGGGACTGGTGAGGGGAGTGGAAATGGCCTTGCAGCGGCAGCGGAGGGTGTGTTTGTCTTTGTCTCGCAATGAAGCCACCCGTCGACCTGGCTGAGATGACCACGGACAGCTCCACGACCCCTGACCCCGCGAGGACCGTAATGAGACGGACAGGAAAGGGGATAATCAAAGAGACAGCATGAGGCGACTGGTGGTCAAGAGGAGGAGGAGGAGGAGGAGGAGGGGAGGGAAAGAGGAGGCCAGGGGGTAAACGATGGAGGACTGGTGGGCAGAGGGGCTAACGGCTCCGATGCTCCAGAGAAATGAGGTGTGGAGATGTGTTCAGGGACTGATTCTCACTGGAGACCCCCATCACAAACACTCTGATATTAGCGTCCACAC